TCTATTTATTTCTGAGCTCCCTTCCCCCTCCCCCATTTCTGAAGAAGGGTCCCGACTCGAAACGTCAACTTTCCTAATCCCCTGCTGCTATCTGACCTGCTGTGTTCCTCCAGCTCCACACTGTGCTGTCTCTGACTCCAGTATCGGCAGTTCTTACTAACACTTATTAGCTCTTGTGCTTTTCAGCTCTGTGGCTTCAAATTGAGTAAACATTTCCTGTTCCCTTCACTCTCTTCAAAAAATGATTCAATTAGGTTGTATCCTGTCACTGCAGTTCACAAGGCATTTATAATTGTGGTGTGGCCATTTAATTGATCCATTCTTAACTGTCCTAAAACAGCTGATGTTTTGGACGCAATTGAGTACATAATACAGAAGGAAAACCTTTGATCCAAACTTCCTGAAAGAGCTGCATTTACTCACATTTTGTTGCCTTTTCCCCAGATTCCTAATTCCAGTATTTATCGACTGTTTTTTAACTTTTTTTAAATTTATATTTACCTTCTCAATATTAATTTAAACCACAGACTAATTTATAAAAGAATGTCTGGAATATTCTCGTTCTCCCTCAACTGTTATCAAACAAGTTCCAGTAATCATACCAGTATCTCCCCATTAATTCAGTTACACTCTATAATTTGAAGTCATTCTCTCACTAGAAATCTTTGAGTTATTCTAAGGGTCTGCAGCAAACTTGTATTCACCACATGAATTGGCAACAGACTCAAGTGGCCAAAAACTCTCTGTAAAGGGAGGTATTTCCTGATACCTCACTTAACCATGTTTCTGCAACTTATCATGACACTCTCAATGCAACTCTTACCTACTTAGTTCAAGGCTGTGCACCCTGGGCACATAACCAATCCCACTAGCCAGGGACCTTTAGTGATGCATGAACTACATTTCTCAAATCCTTATCTCACTCATCAGTTTCGTGTATGTAACCATATGCAAGACATACACATATCTGAAATTGACCAAGCCCAAAAGCAGCATATTATCTACATTAGTCAGCCTACTCTTCAGATTATCATCCTGGAACAAGTGAACAGAACTAAAATGCTTGATATCCGGTCTGCCTTCTAGATAGAATTGAGGCCTGGCCCTCAGAACTGTTCACTGAGACTACCAGGTGGTTAGCCACTTATAACCTGCTCAAGGAGAAAATTCACTCTATTCTAAGTTAAAGAATTGGTATAAGGAGTCAATTTATTTGATTTTCTCACACAGAGTATGAGGATACAGTGGTAATTCACCATTGTGACCAATGTCAGGTTCACATGTAAAAAGAGTCTTCTCCAAATCATGCTTTCCCAATTAAACCTTTTAATTGCTCACCTCAATACTCTCAATTTTAATTCAGTGCTCCATTCCTTTGCTTTTTCTCCCCCTTTTGTGATGAGCAAGGTGAGATTGCTAACCTTTTCTTATTCAAAACTGATCTTGTGCTCCAGTGTGACATTAATTCAATTCTTTTTATTTCACTTCAGATAGTTATAAATGGGATTATTTGTAAGATTAGTTGTGATTGTCCTTTTGGCAACTCCCATCATCTAAAAAGAATATCATTCTTTTGGAATTCTTTCTGATTTCTCCCGATATAAGCCAACGTACGTAGAAACATACATAGAAACTAGAAAATATGAATAGGAGTAGGCTGTTCAACCCTTCAAACCCGCTCCACCATTCAATATGATCATGGACAATCAGCCAACTCAGTATCCTTTTCCCACCTTTTTCCCCATACCCTTTAACCCTGAGAACTAAATCTAACCATTGCTTGAAACCATTCAACATTTTTGCCCCAAACGCTTTCTGTGACAGGGAATTCCAAAGGCTCGCCACTCTCTGGACGAAGAAATTTCTCCTCATCCCAGTCCTAAATAGCTTGCCCAATATCCTTAGACTATGACCCCTGGTACTGGACTCCCCAGTCATTGGAAACATCCTTCAGTATTCTAAGTACTGCTATGGTTAGTTCATATTTACCACTAAAATACCCTGCCATTATTAAAGAATACATGTTGCACTGAGATTTAGTTAATTTTAACTTCATTAGCAGGGAACTCCTGTTGACAGAATAGATCTCCTGACCTCCACCAGAAAGGCTGAAGAGAACCAATAATTCTGATACTGCTAAATTGACCCTACTGCAGTTGAAGAGTTTCCATTATCCTTTGTGGAGATCAGTGGAATTCACTCATACTTTCACATAAATGTCTACTGTGTTAGACTCACTCCAGATTTCAATTGTATACTCGTTTCTAGTCACTTGAATGTATGTAGGGATATTTCTCCGCTTCTTCATTTTTATATAACCTAGCACAAAAGGTGGAAGTCTGAAATTAAGAAAATGCTAGAAAACATAGAACTGATCTGGGAGCATTAGAACTCCTTGATAGCTGCATATTTTCTATTCCTTCTGTTTTAAATCTTATTCACCTGAAGGTTTAATTGTAAATATTGGTCAAACTTGTCAGTTCTTAAGAGTTGCAGGTCGGATTTAAAGTTATGTAACATAACATAAAAACAGGTTCAGAAGCAGAATATATTTCTTCCAGAGTTTGTTTCATCAGTCACTAAGAACATGGCAAATCAGAATATAGTCTCAATTTCACTTGCCACATTCCTGATAACTCTTGATTCTTTAATGATAACAGTTCTCTTGGGCAGAGAGTTTCAAAGATTCATAACCCTCTGAAAATATAAATCCCTCCTTGGCTCCATCTTAAATGGCTAACCATTATTCTGAAACAAAGCATTCTTGTTCTAGATTCTCTCACAAGGGGAAACGTCTTCCCAGTATCCACCCTGTCAAAGTCCCTCAGAATCCTATATGGTTCAATGAAATCAGCTGTTGTTCCTCTAACCTCTAATAAATATGAGCCCAACCTGCTCTATCTCTCTTTATAAGGCAACCTTTCATGTTGGGAATCAGCTTGGTAAACCTTCACCAATTTACCTCAAATGTAAGCATATTTCTCCTTAAATAAGGAGATTAAAACCATATGCAATGGTCTCACCAGCACCAGCAAAGATGTAGCAAGACTTTCCTTCCTACCTTTGTATTTTATTCCCTTTGCAATAAATGCCAACGTAGTATTTCCCTGCCTCATAATTTGCTGCACATGCATGTGAACTTTTTGTGATTCATATACAAGGAGGAGGTGGTGGCCTAATGGCATTATTGCTAGACTGTTAATCCAGAGACCCAGATAATGTTCTGGGGACCTGGGTTCAAATCCTGCCATGGCAGATGGTAGAATTTGAATTTGAATTCAATAAATATCTGGAATTACAAATTTAATGATGACCATGAATCAATTGTCAGGAAAAACCCATCTAGTTCACTCATGTCCTTTGGAGAAAGAAACTGCCATCCTTACCTGGTCAGGTCTACATGTGACTCCAGACACTTTGTCTGACTCTTAACTGCCCTCTGTGCAATTAGGATGAGCAATTACTGCTGCCTAGCCAGCAATGCCCTCATCCTGTGAATGAATTAAAAAAAATCCAAATTGTTCCATACCACAGCATTTTGTAGTCTCTTTCCATTTAAATAATAATTTGCCTTTCTACTCTTCCAAATAAAACTGATTAACATGACATATTTCCACATTACAATCCACCTTTTATTTTTGTTTTTTGTATCTTCCTCCAACTTGCTTTCTGTCCTGTCTGTGTCATCAGCAAATTTGACCATAACACACTTGATCAATTCATTTAAATTGTAAAATAGATCATAAATAGTTGATGCCTCGCAAAGATTACTGTGGCACTCCAATAGTTACAGTTTGCCAACCTGAAAATGGTACATTTATCAGAACGTTCTGTTTTCTGTGAGTTGGCCAATCCTCTATCCATGGTATTGTTTTACCCTCAATGCCACAATGCTGTCTTATTTTGTATAGTAACCTAAAAATACACTACGTCTACTGGTTCCCCTTTATCAAACCCCTGTTTGATATATCCATCAGGAAAGTTAGAAAAATGTCAAATAGGATTTTCCTTTCCTCGCTTCCTCACATAAAATTCAGTAAATCCACAGAACATGAGCACCCACAGTTTATTAAATTTTATCCATAATGTTTTGGCCTTCTCAATCCTATCCAGCTATTAGTAACTACACATTAATTAATTTCAAGAAAACTGGTCTTGACTGTAATCTTCTGCTCATTGTTGAAAAGACAATGAACATTTCAATCAGGGTTTGTCCAGTCACAAACATTTGAACTAGAAGCAGAAGTAGGCATTGGGCTCTTCTGGCCTGCTTCTTCATTCATGAGGGGCATGGATAGGTTGAATAGTCGAGGTCTTTTCCCTAGGGTAGGGGAGTCCACAACTAGAAGGCATAGGTTTAAAGTGAGAGGGGAAAGATTTAAAAGGGACCTAAGGGGCAACTTTTTCACGCAGAGGGTGATGCGTGTATGGAATGAACTGCCAGAGGAGGTGGTGGAGGTGGGTACAATATTTAAATGGCATCTGGATGGATATGTGAATAGGAAGGGATATGCTGGCAGATGGGACTAGATTAATTTAGGATATCCGGTAGGCATGGACAAGTTGGACCGAAGGGTCTCCTTCTGAGCTGTACTTCCCTACGACTCTAATTAGATCACGGCTGATCTGTGTGAGTTTAGTATTCCACATTCAGGTTTACCTCCAATAACCTCTCATTCCCTCACCTCACAAGAATGTATCTAATAATTAAGTGCTCTTGTGGGGCGGTGGTAGTGCCCCTACCTGCAGACCAGGGTTCAAGTCCTCCTGCGCCAGAGGTGTGTCACAACATCACTGAACAGGTTCATTAGAAATTATGTAATTATTTAACTTGCAGCCAGCAGAAATGGAACCATGTCCCAGAAAGGGGAAGATAGCTGAAGGAGGGTGAACGCAGCCAGTGAGACATGATTTGAAATAGAAACTCAGACTGCATTCCCTTTGTCTCTCTCTCTCTCTTTCATAACTTTGCAACTTCTTGTTTTGACGTTACATGACCCCACCCAACTGGAAATGAAACTGCTGGGTGTCCTTGTCTGATCACTGTCTTGCGTATTCCTCTCAGGTAGCAGGAAGGTGAGTCCATTCAGTATCACTTTGGGACCCTTTGTGATGTTTAATCCGCTTGTTCCTAATGTGCAAAGTTTTATTTTAAAATTAAGTTAGCACCAGCAGTTCGGATATAAAGAATGAACACATTTGTGCTCGAAAGTTTTTTTTTCCGCCGTTCAGATCTTTTGCAAAATTGTAAACGTGTTTATAAAGTACGACGTCGAGTTGTCAGCAAACGGGATTTTGCAATGGTAGTATTCAACGAGCCTGATAACTGAAATATACCGCAAGTTATGGCTGAGGTTCACAGAATGGGTTGAAAGATACGACTGAGAATTCTAATAATTTATCGTATTCCTGAAATCGGATGGAATGCACTGAAATGTAAGGCCTGAGGTTTATAGTTAATTCAACGTGTGGATGAGATGAAGTTAGAATTTGTTGAAAGGTATAGCAGAGCTTTTTATGAATGGAATGTACCAAATAGCAAGGCTGAGATTTATAGTAAGAATGTGTGAAGAGCTAAGACTGAGGTTCCTGCAATTTCATTACAATAAAATGGGCATTTACTGCAACTTTAATTTTAAAATAATTTGCAATCCCACCTAACCTCCTCTTAAAACTGCCTGTAGTGCTTCCACTCCCGACCTCAAAAGAACTCTTAACTGTAACACTGTGATTCTGTAACACTTAAACTCTGTAAAATTTTCTTAGCTCACTCTCCCCAGTTCCAGCTTTTAAACATTTCCCCAAATTCCTCCCTTGGAAAAAGAGCTATAATTTGCATTAGTTCTAATTTCAAACGAAGTTGCAGTACCTGCTAACCCATTACTGTTTTATCACCATATACAATTGTTGATTGAACAACACCAAGTGTAAGCCTAACTCAAACTACTGCAAAGGTTGGGATGAAGTAGATGGCAAAAAAAACATTGAGAATGAAGTTGACCCTTTTATAGGCACAACCCTGCCAAACAGTTTTGTGGAGGGTGGGGAGCAGGAGTATTGTCTTCACTAATGAATTACCCTCCTTTCAGAATTCGAGTGTTAAATCTCTTGAACTGCGACCATTATCGAAAGGTCTGTTTCCATGCTGTATGACTCTATTAGAGAAGCAAGCACTGTTTGCATTTTAAGAGTAGAAACCCCATTCAATTTATCTAAGTTATTGGGAATTAGTTGCGCACTGAGCCTGAATATTGGAGCTTTCAGAGCAAATGAGTACGGCCCAGACCAAAATTGAAATGCAGAATCTCAATAGTTTTGGATTGTCTCCTGAGTCAAGCACATATTGGCATAGGACTGAACTGATCAGAATGTTCAATGCGTGACTGAATAAGTGACGTAGAAGGCAGGAGTTTCGATTCATGACACCTGACACCAATACTGAGGGGACACTTCTGTGCGAAATGACGTTACTTAAAATGGGAACTTTTTAACCTTTTAACATAACTAGAATTTTGATTGGGCTAAAAATGAATGGGGATGGGTGGCTTCAGCAGGGGATAAGTTCAAAAACAGTAAGAAAAACATCAGGAGTATCAGTATAGTAAAAATAGGAAGAGTGGGTGAGGAAGGACCAGAGAAATTAATAAGCATAATGGGTCACTTGTATCCAGCAGGGTCTGGGGAAAATACAACAACGTTCTAACAGTGGGCTAAATGACCTGCTTGTACATGATAGGCATTCTATGATTCTCAGCGTAGAGAAATCTGCCACTAATTAAACTGAGGGCAGTAAGGGCCTGAAGTGAGAATCACAGCTACTGGTTGTGGGACATTAGGTTAGTGAATGTGCCACTTTTCAATTACTCCTAAACCCATCAAAATTCAGTGGTTGATCAGGGATTAAGTGAGACTTACGCGACCCTCTGACCTGTCTGAGACTCACCAGTAAATTCAACATTGGGAAGCAGCTAAGCCAAAATAGAAAGTGAGATTTGTGGCTAGCCCGTTTAATAGGATTAGGTAAAAAGAACAATAGACAGAAAGGACCTTGATTCAGGAAATCAAAGCACAGAATCATTTTGACTGGAGCGAAGAGACAACAAAGGGCAGAACCCAGTGCCACTGTAGTTTATAGACTCCACGAACAAAGTGGTCACATCAAGCCGGGTATTATTAAGGCAATTAAAAGAGTATATAACACTGGTGATGAAGGCTGTTGATTTTGTTTTTATTTATTCACTTCATGGGATGCGGGCATTGCTGGTTGGGCCAGCATTTATTACCTGTCCTTACTTGATCTTGAGAAGGTTGTGGTAAGGGCCCTCTTGAGCTGCCGCAGTCTATGTGCTGCAAGTAGACCGATAATACCATTAGGGAGGGAATTCCAGAATGTTGACCCAGTGACACTGAAGGAATGGCCATATATTTACAAATCAGGATGGTGAGTGGCTTGGAGGGGAACTTGCAGGAGGGGGTGGTGTTCCCATGTATCTGCTGCCCTTGTCCTTCGAGATGGAAGTGGTTAGGGGTTTGGAAGGTGCTGCCTAAGGATCTTTGGTGAATTTCTGCAGTATACACTTCAGATTGTACACACAGCTGCCACTGTGAATTAATGATGGAGAGAATGATGAAGTGATAGCATCCTTACTTCTGAGCCAGGAAACTTGGGTTCAAGTTTCACCTGCTCCAGAAATGTGTAATAAATCTCTGAAAGGATTGTTTAGAAAATACCAATATGAATGGCAAGTCAATAATCATGGGTACTTTCATCTTTATATATTAACATATGAGATGGGGGCTAAGGTAGACCATTCGACCCCTCAAGACTACTCCACCATTCCATAAGATAATGGCTTGTTTCTTTGTGTTTAAATTTTACATTCCCATCTATTCCCAATAATCCTTACGTCCATTTCCTAACAAGAATCTATCCATGAGATAGTAGGAACTGCAGATGCTGGAGAATCTGAGATAACAAGGTGTAGAGCTGGAAGAACACAGCAGGCCAAGCAGCATCATAGGAGCAGGAAGGCTGACATTTTGGGACATTTCTTCAGAAATGTTTCTGAACATTTTTCTGATTTCTGAAGAAGGGTCTAGGCTTGAAACGTCAGCCTTCCTGCTCCTCTGATGCTGCTTGGCCTGCTGTGTTCATCCAGCTCTACACCTTGTTATCTAAGAATCTATCTTAATGTTTTTCAAATCAGCTCACTTATACTGCCTACTAAGGCAGGGTTCCAAAGTCACGCAAGCTACAGGGAGAGGCTGATAAGCTGGGGCTATATTCCCTGGAGCGTTGGAGGTGGAGGGGTGACCTTATAGGGCTTTATAAAATCATGAGGGGCATGGATAGCGGAGAATAGCCAAGATTTTTCCCCGGGGTGCGGTGCAGTCAAAAACTAAAGGGCGTAGGTTTAAGGTGAGAGGGGAAAGATTTAAAAGGGACCTAAGGGGCAACTTTTTCACACAGAGGGTGGTGCATGTATGGAATTAGCTGCCAGAGGAAGTGGTGAAGGCTGGTACAATTACAACATTTAAAAGGCATCTGGATGGGTACATGAATAGGAAATGTTTAGAGGGATGTGGGCCAAATGCTGGCAAATGGGACTAGATTAATTTAGACTATCTGGTCAGCATGGATGTGTTGGACAGAAGGATCTGTTTCTGTGCTGTACAACTCTATGACTCTAAGCTGCTAGGAAATAAAATTTCTTTTCAGCTCTCATTCTCCATTTAACTAATGCTCTGTTTCTTGTTTTTCTTCCCAAAGTGACCAACTTCACATTTTTCCATGTTATTCTCCATTTGGCAGAATTTTACCCACTTGATCTATCTAACTATATCCACCCGCAACTTCCTTATGTCTTCTTCACAACATTTTGAAGGGCGATCCCTTTAAAATGGTGTCCTCTAGATCAGGAGGAAGAGAAAATACGTTTTCCATGCTCACCCTGCTACCCCTCACTCTTCAAAATGTCGGTGGAAGCAAACCATCCTGTCCAATCTATCCTCAGAATACAACCCGATCATTCCAGCCATTAATCTGATAAACCTTCTCTGAGCCACCTCCAATGCATTAAAATTCTTCCTTAAATAAGAAGACTAAAACTGCACTCTGTAGTTTAGATGTGGTCTCACCAATGGCTTGCCTGAAGCTTAACATCCTTACTTTTATTCCTCTTGTAACAAAGAATAGAATCTCATTAGCCTTCTTGATTACACTTTCTACCTGTATTCTAACATTCTGTGACTCATGCACTTGAGCACCTTAATCCCTCTGTACCTCAGAATTCTACGCTTATTCTCCATTTAACTAATGCTCTGTTTCTTTTCTTCTTCCCAAAGTGACCAATTTCACATTTTTCCACGTTATTCTCCATTTGTCAGATTTTTACCCACTTGGTACTTAACTATATCCACCCACAACTTCCTCGTGTCTTCTTCACAACATACTTTACCTTCTGTCTTGGTGTTACCTACAAATTTAGCTATGTTGTCTTCACTTTATTCTCATCTTTGCACGGTTATTTGCTTTATCCTTAAGTTTGATGCTTTCCTGAACTTATTTAGTTAACTGTGGATAGTAGGTTCGCCCTTCTACAATTTCTCATTGTAGTCTGAATATACTTATTCTGAAATATCACCTTAAATGCCTGCCACTAGGTCTCTGTTGATTTAATCTCAGAGCCTAATACGTTGGTTCGCTTCAGTCAGCTCAGCTCAGTCCACATAATTGGGCTTATTTAAGTTTAAAACACTAGTCTTAGACCCAACACTCTGCTTTCAAAGTGGATTTAAAATTGGTTGCTGCTATCTATGTGTGCCTTTACTTTAAGGTCATTAACTAACCCTATCACATTACACAATACTGTGTCTAATATAAACTACTGTCTGGTCGGGTCCAAAATGACAATCTGATTTTTCCAATTTACATATAGATTAAAGGCACCCACAATTATTGCCATTACTTTATCACAATGACCCAACATTTCTTTTTGCATATTTTTATTCTACATTGTGAAAATGCTAGTTCAGTTGGCTGGATGGCTGGTTTGCACTGCAAAGTGATGCCAACA